ACTTACTCTTCTTTAGTTTTTTTTATTGCTTTTAGTTGCTTACCAACTTATTTCATGCAATAAGACTCAAGAATACGAGGATCTATTGTTCCTCTTAAAATAATACTCATATCCCGATGTAAAATCTGGAATTTAGCATGAGAGGATTAAAAAAACCCCAAACAACAAACCTCTAGAGCAGCATCTTATTTGTTGATATGGTGTCACTAGTCAGTGGGACATTCCAGCAGGTGGTTTGAATTTTTGATACAAATTACTGACCACTTCTCAAATGAGTATTTTTTGTTTGTTTGTTTACCTGATTTTTCCACTGTCAAAAGTATCTGCTATGTGTATCTGTCAAAAGTATCTGCTGTTTCTAAAATGCTGTAGAAATTCGACATGTGTTGATGAGGCTGTCTTAGCTCTTCTGAGAAAGAACATAGCCCTTACACTTTGAGATTTCTCTCAACATGCAGAATTATGCAGAAAAGGTTAGGATTTAATTATCTGATAATCTTTCCGTAATATTTCTGATTTGAGTTCTTCCCATCAGCAGTCTGGAGTCCTCTTCATTAAAGCTGTATGTGTAATAAGAGTACTAGTTCTTGTTCAACGTTATTCATATTAATAAGAATGAACATAAGAATATGAACATAAACATATTCATATGTTGTAGGCACATGATGGATGTGGAGGAGATCACTTTTCTAGATAACCTTTTTTCTACCACATTAGTTGCCATGAAGCAAAGGGAGGCACTTGTCTTGTCATGTCTATAATGAAAAGAAGAAAGCAGCAAAAGGAGATATCCTGATTTCTGAGAGAAACTGATGCTTTAGTACTTTAAACTCCTTTCACTGCTATGGGAGGACTGCAGGAGAGGCTTAGGAAGATCAGGGAGAAATCTTACTGCTACGTTGGTGGGAACTGTCCGTTGCTGTGAAGGTATCCACTGTAAGCATCTTCCCTGTCTTATGGGTCTCCTAAAACACCATGTTAAATTATCTCCCATATAAAGGTTTATATCCCCTTGAACAGAGTGGTTGTTCATGGCTGAGGGATGGCAGAACCATGATTTCTCTTTGCAGTGGGATGTAACTATGAGTATCACCAAATACTCCCATGTGATCTTTTCCTCAGTCTGTTCCTTTCCAGGGGCCAGGTGACCTCTTCCACTACATAGTTGTTTCAGACCATAAACAGATCATGCTTTTGAGCATTTAGGCTTCTTGATCAAAGCTTGAAGGTCACCTTCTGAACGAGGACTGGGAGTATCATTAAACAACCTGCAAAAGTCTTAGGTACTCCAAGGGCTTTTTAGCCCTCTGACCACCTCGTTCAGATGACAAGATGGTGAATAATTTCTTGGAGTGGGAGGAGAGGGCTGGAGGAAAGCTTGTGTGGTCTACTGAGCTCTCCAACCTCCTCAGAGATGATAAAAGCTTTAGAGTGAAGGCTTAGTGGGCCCTGCCTCTTTTAGTGGGCTGTTTGGCAGTGGAGAAAGCATCAGATTTTTTTCCTTGGGACCCAGGAAGGGGGGCGGGGGGAAACCCACAGGGAGGGAGGAACTAGTGGTGGAGGAATATAGGCCCTCGGAAGGTTGCTGCAGCTTGAGCCTCCTTCCTCCCCCTTCTGCTCATTGCCGGCAGGGGCAGCTGGCTTGCTGCCTCACTCCAAGTCTCCTCCCTTGCTGTCCGTGGTGATGTTACCTCCAACACACCCGAGCCCAGTGACCCGAGTCTCATTCCCTGACAGTCTTATGTTCTACGGTTCGTTTAGATGGGATCGTATACCAGCAAGGGAAGTATCTTGAACCCCATGAGGAGAGGCCTGGGCTCCCCTCGTTGCTCCACAGAGGGACGCGTTTTCTGCAGTAGTAGCTCTGGGGGAGGAAAGACACCACTGGCAGTTTTGTAGGAGTAGGTTGGGGCCGCGGGGGGGGCTAAATCATTAAGATCCAGCAATCTCAAATGACTGTCACCACCTGGTAAGACAGCCGTCCATCAGGAGCATGGAGGTGGTGGCATAACGAAGATGGGAGGTGAGCACTTGACACAGGGACAGTGACTGGGCATGGGCTAATACTGGTAGCAGAAACAAAGGTGGGACCAGAGGCATCGACGACTACCCTTGGCTGCAGCACATAAACCCAAAAGCAAGTGTTGCTGCTACTTTCCCAAAAACTTGAGGTGAGGGCTCCGAAACTAGCTCCTGACATCGCTTGTTGATCATTTACAGCAGATGCTTCTTGGCAGCAATGTCATTAAGGCTGATTACAAATTCTGTGTGTATTACATATACAGGAAAAATAGATGTAAACTACAGCACTCTGAGGATTAAGTGGCTTCGTGGATTGTACTTTCTGCCTTGATCGAGGCCTGAAATATGCATATATATTTACTAATATTTCTTAGAATCTAAATAATAAGTAGAGAAGCTTTTTTTCAGAATACTCAGAGAAGTTTAGAGAAGGCTGCTTCATTTTATCAAATGCTAGCCATATTCTAGTATATATTCTTTTCCAGAATACAAGTGCAGATATACAACATGAGTACAAAACGTAACTGAAGTCGCAGTGTGTTAGCGAGAGACTGCTTTATTAATTTCCCTTCAAAACAAATTAAGTCACTTCATTTAAATTGCTCACTGTATTCCACTGCACATTAAGGCTTCTGGACCTGTCAGGATGACTGTGAGAGAGGGAGCTGGCAAGGACAATACACAGGGGAACTGCCCATTAAAAAGGTATATGGAACTGTGCAAAGGAAAAGATGTGATATACAAAACTGAAACTTTCCCTTCCGCTGTAAGACGTGTTTTAGGAACGTTCTGCAGCTTTTATTAAGGTATACAAAACTACTGAATTATCAAACCTCAAATTAGTCATTCAGAACAGCTTAATTAAAATTAATGTAATTGAGACTATATTCCCTTTGCTACCTATACCTGTACAGCATTGTAAATGATGCTGGGATAGTTATACCCAAGCTACCGCCTTGCAAAGAGCTTTATAGCACCTCAGTGCATATGCCAGCAAGGAGCTGTTTTGTATTTGCCCTGGTTTTGATCATACTCGTTCTCTAAGAGTATGCCAGGCTTAGGGGCAGCTTATTGGGCTAAACGGACCTTTATTCTGAGCCAGTATAATTTTTTTAAATGTTATTTTTGTATTAACTTAGTACTTTACAATTTCCAAGCACTTTCTCATCATTAACTCCTTAGGCCCCATGGGTTTCATCAGAAAATTAAAGGCATGCAGCAGTGTTGCCGGATGCTGAAACCGTCTGGCACAAACAGTCCATATCTGTGCTAGAAAACCCTTAAACTACAAGATGCCAACCGATCTGTTGGGAATGGTCCTGAGATCGCTCAAATGCTCAGGAGTGCCTGTGCCCAGGAATTAGCTGGGTAGGTGGCAGGGCTAGGAGCATGCCCGCAGCAGCCTGGTTTTCCAGTGGTGGGGGTGACATGTGTGCCCCCCCCGACTCCTCAGCTCCCCGTGCAGCCGCCCCGTAGCATTCCCGGGAGGAGCTGGCAATGATGCTTGGGAAACAGCATCCGTTCATGGGCTTGCCCCCCAAACAGTGACCTTGATGGCTTACCTGGGTTCTCTTTGATGGAGGTACCAGCTGGAAGCTGCACACAGTCAGCTGAGATATCTGTTGATATACTCATGTAAACAAAAGCCCTTTGCCAGATTTGCGCGCTCGCTTCTGCATCCGGAGTTTGATTCCCAATAATGCAAGCGGTGGTGTACCTGCGCCATAGTATTGGTATGCCAAATCTAGGTGTAAATTACAAGGGAGCCGATGTACTGGTACTGATGGCAGGAATTCAGCCACAGTAGTTTTGGCCTCACGTTTTGTGAATTTTATCTTCATTCTTGTTGTAAATGGAGTTTGCCCAAGGCCACCCTCAGCAAAGCCAGGGATAAGTTTAGAATAAGTCCATCTTCCTCATTCTGGTTTTATGGAAGAGAAAGATGCAAATGATGTTTCCTGGCCAGATTTGGTCCAAGACAACCCCTCCTTTCTTTTCAGTTTTGGGTTCACTTCTTAGACTGTGGACCAGTTGCTGTTCCTTGCTGTGGAGATAATCAGAATTTGGTGTGGAATAACATTCAAGTAGCTGGTACTGAGCCTCCCAAGTGCTGAGAGGCTTGTGGAAGTTCTGGTGTGGTGTGACTGGTTTGGTGCGTGGCCCACCTTGTCCCTGTGTTGTCCCGGGAGGTTCCTGCAAGCTGTGCTTCAACTATTCAGTGGGGACTTGTGTTGATATCCTTATTTTGTTAACCTCGTGAGAGGTTAACAGGGGTCGGGTTTCTGCGGTACCCAGCAGAAATCACGCCACACCGTGTCTTCCTTGCTGGGTACCATTCCCTGCCGTGCTGCCGCAGCCCACCGGCTCCCTGCCGTTTTGGAGGTGGGAACCTAGGAACTCACCTGGCAGGGTGAGCTGGCTTCTCTCCAGGAAGGCTCTACATTCTCAGGGCACGGCTGGGATCTGCTTGGGTAGAACGCACAAAAGGTTTCATTGTTGATTGGTTGGGTTGGGGTTTATTTTTTAGTTTTTTCGGCAGAAGCTGAGAGTTGCCTGCTTTTCCCTGGGCAGAGCGCTTCTCTCGGGGCTGCCTGGGCGCAGCCTGGCTGGTGCATCGGGCAGACAAGGAGGAGTTTCAGGTTCTTATCTCTCTCACAGCGCTTTCGGTGTGAAAGGCTGCGGTGTTTTCAGCCAACAGTACCACAGTCACTGATGTTGTCCTTTCAAGTGCTCTCAAGATCAGTGCCTTTGAAGGAAAGGAAGTAAAAATTCAGGACTTACTGTTTTTCTTCTGGGTGATTACTTGTCAAGGTTTGAGGGCTTTTGCTCAGCGAAGTAGAGTTTCTAGCATAGGTTTTTCTTTCCTTTGTTGTTTTAACCAATGAGTACAATCTAGTTCAACTTAACAATGTCTTCTTGAGTCTGGTTATTTCTAAGGTGTAAAGCTGATCTTTTATTTTAATATTTCCTCCCTACAGCTGACCTGAACAACGTCAGGTTCTCGGCATACAGGACTGCCATGAAACTCCGCAGGCTGCAGAAAGCCCTCTGCCGTAAGTATGTGCCTGTGCCTTACCTGCTGCCGGGAAGACTTTAAGACCAACATGCAAATTTATTCACAACTTTCAGAAGCAGGAAAACACCCCCACACACACCTAGCTCTGCCTGGTGCATGGAAACCTCTCACCTGAAGGGTCTTCTGCTGCGTGTTTGCAGAAGAAGGAACAAACAAACACCGGTTTGCATGTTCCTTACAAAACCAAAGTGCTGGGTGGTCTGCAGATCTGTCCCTTGCAAGACACAGCAGTGGATAAGAAACAAAACTAACATCCCCTACGTATTTCTTACCTTTATACTCTTTAGCTGGGTATTTTCACTGTGCGCATTACTGGAGCCTTGTCCTGTGTCAGCCCCAGCTTTACATCTCGATGCCAAAGGAACAGGATTGTAGTGTATTGGGGACCGTGAGAGTTTGGGTGAAATAATCACTCCAGAGCTGGAATTGTTAATGGTTTGTTAAGTTGAATCTTGAACCCTGAGGAGCTGTTGCCTTTAAATGAGATCATCGCAGTAAACGTTTAGCTTCATTTTTCCCCAGCTTTTGCTTATGTTCAGAAGTCTCTCATCAACCATACTTTTGTGATGTGCATGTTCTAAGATTTTAATTCTCTCAACTGGTGTATGGTATTCTACCTGTCACTGGAGTTATGTTTCCTTTCCAACTTATTGTAACCTGATAGCTAAATAATTTGCTCGTAGTTTTCTTGGTAGGCCAATCAGTTGCCAAAGCAAGCAGTTTATTAGGTGGTACAGTTTGGGAGGTTATTAAAATATTTTAACGTTCACTATTTGGTATTTAATTACAGGGTTAAGTTTCTGACACAGTTGCAAATGTCTCAACTGTTGATTTACCTCAAGTTTGGATTTGTGCTCACGTGCTTTCTGGAACTGTGTCAAACCTCGATATTTTTAAGCATGTTTACTTTTAGGCTTATAAGCATGGGTAAATTCCACTAGTGAACAGACTTAATTTCTGAATGTATAAAAAATAGAAAAGAAAAAGAAAAAAAAAAAACACCAGTAAGAGAAAATTCTTGTAACGAAAGGTTTCAACCTGAATGCAGTGACAATGAATTTTGATGATCAGAAATACAAACATCTTTCCATGGCACAGCGCTCCTGCCACACTCTTTGTGGAAAGGTAGTGTAAAGAAATTGGAGTGATATGCAGTGAAAGGTATCCACAATCAGTGCAGCGCTGAAGTAGGGAAATAAAATATTTGGAATTAGAAGTTTCTTTAGCTGGCAGTGCACAAGTGTAACTTGTAGCAGGTTTTTATGGCTGAAGTCCAAAACTTTGCATCCTGTTATATCGGTATTACCCTGATTCCTACCACTAAATAATTCTAGACTCATCTTGGACTTCACAGTGTGGAATCGTAGTTACGCACTGAAGTCAGTTCATCTCTGGAGATTACACTTAGGTAGATTTTCTGAGAATGGATGTTTTCAGAGACATGCAGTGGCACTTAGAGTGATTACTTTAGCACATTCTTCATACTTGTATCTAAGCGGAAGTATTTAAGGAATTTGGTTAGCAGTCTTTGTTCTTACAAATATTTTTGCTTGGAGACACCACTGTTGTATTTGTGTATTCTATGATTTCAGTGTCGCTTGTGAACTCAGTTTAATTAGATTTTTAAAAAAACCAAGCAAACAACTAATTTCAAAATTATTTTTTGGCAGTTTGGCACTAGTAGAAATAGAATGCAGTGCTGGGTTTCAGGGCTTCTTTATATAGGCAAAAATCCCTAAATTCCACCTGCAGTAGGTGCTGCTTTCAGCTCTTCCTTTTTATTTTGGTTTTAAAATTGCAAGATTTTAAAAAAATATTTATTATTTTCTGCAAATTTCATAAAAAGCAGAGCCACGTTGTCTGCTGAGGAGCACTCTAAAGATGTGTGCACAATAGAAGGCCTGCAGAAGCGAAGGTGCAGACTATTCCTCTGTGGCAAGAATAGAAACACTTTTAAAAATGAACTATTCTTAGACTTACTTTTCAGTTCGTAAATCAGCCCAATGAACATTAAGACGCTAGGACATTAAACCTGAAGAAGAATATGGAAAATGGTAATCCTTAACAAATAAATGCTCGTGTGTTGTGTTACCTTGGAAGAATCTACTGTGTGGCTCTATCATCCCCACCTTCGAAATTATTGTGGGCATGCCAGGCATAACTATGGCACCTTTTTTTTTTTTTTTTTAAACGTATGGTTTCCTTTGATAATCACATCAAAGCATGTTAACTTTCTTGGTTTGCTACTTTTAAAAGATCTGATCTTCAAGTGCAAACCACATCTGAACATTGTGATGTCAATGAAATGAGATGTATTCACAAACTTTTCTTGGAGATGCAGCAAAAGAAAATATTCGAGAACTTCCGTTTGGGTGCTTTTTTCCTTTAATTTTATATAGGATAGATTAAATATATTTTTTTAATATATCAGCCAACAGCAGCAGGTTACAGAGGAGATGATCTTATGTTCTGGGAACACCATTTATACATTTTATCACCAGTCATATGCTGAGTTTTTCCCAAGTTCAGTATGTGACCTCCACAGTATACTTTATCCTGCCTGTTAATTGTCACTTCTGTCCTCCTGTGCATTAGTTATTCCAGGTTGTTTTTTAACTTTTCCTGCCATCTGCCCACAGGTTGTTGTCTAGTTACAAACATCCTAACTTTTTTTCTCTTGCCTTAGAAGCCAAAGAAATATTTATATAGATGACTTAGATTTCAAAATAAGCTAGAAGCTTCTGCTCACACAGATTTTGGAGTCAGTTTTGGAATTTTAAATAGGAAAGAACAAAAGAGTGGCAGAGAACCCACAAAAAGTACAAATCATATAGTGGTATGGTTTATTCAATTAAAGCTTTGGAAATCACTGAATAGCTATGAATATGCAACTCTTTAATACATATATGACTGCTGGGGCTTGTCTTTGGAAAGTCTGTCATTTAATAGGACCTCCATATTTGCTTTCAGGAAAGAAATACACAATTCTTGGTTCTGGAAGAGGATCCCTCTCCCCCCTGTTTCTTTAATCTTGGTGGGAAAGATGCAGGAGGAGCTTAACGTGGCAAAGGCCAGAGCCACTCTTCTGCCCATAAAAAGAAGTTCCCTAAAGCAGAGTGTGGTGACAAGCACTTTTTGCTTGTTATAAGATGAACGTGTGTTATTAACTTCAAGATAGGACATGAGGTTGATGAAGAGCGGGGTGAAAGGCTTTTCAGAAGTTGCTGCTTATTAGTGGGAAAAGCTTTCACAAAGTGGAGTGACCCATGTTTAGCGGTAGCTGCATATATAATTAAGCTGCCACTCAGATGCCTGAGGGGTTCATTTAATTACCATTGATTCACAGTCTCAAAGGAACTGAGAGTTCAGCCTGAAGCTCAGAGTTAAAGGTGTTGTGAAGGCAGTGCTCTATTTCCATTGTGACTAATAAATTATTAGAAGAAAAGCGTCTTTCTGAGACTCTTAGGAGTGGGTCTGATAAATATGCTTTTGTGGGATATAACACTGACCTTAGAATAGCTATATTTTATATGCTAGTAGGTTAAACATAATATTCCAAAAGATTTTCTTTTAATAAATATCTATATGCTAATGAGTAAAAAGTAAAATCCCAATAAAACCCTGCACAAAGCCACAGATTCAAGGTTAAATTTCTTGGTCTAATAATGGGGATAGCATTCCAAGCTTTCCTATTCACTGTAGCACTGGGTATGTCAGGCCCACAGGATGAAATTTTCAGAAGTCCTTAAGGGATTTAGTAGCAGAAGTCCCTATTGATTTCCAGTGAAATTTACACTCTTGAAATTCTTTTGGTGATTATGAAATCCCAGTGTACTGTCCATGCAGCACTACCAAACAGGCCTGTGTGCATTTGAAGTATTTTTCATCTCTACTAGGACATCAAAGGGTCAATTTCATCCTTGATAAAATAGGATACTCGAGTGAATTTGGCAAGTGTGCCCTTAAGCTGGATGAAGTTCTTAAAAAATTCCTGCACGGGCTTCTGCATTTAGCCTCTGTACATTGGGGTTTTTCTGACATTACTGAGAGATGTCCTTACCAGAACTCAATAAAACACATTTTTGTTCCAATCAGAGAAAAAATGGTCTTATAGTTGGGTCAGTTCATTTCCCAGTTTTGTGACGAATTTCCTGGATTACTTTGGGTAGTTTGCTTTGGGCCAGATCCTGGTCCCTCAAGTCATGTTGAATGATGCTGTACTTTGTGACTGCTCACAGTACGAGCAGGACAAACAGCATCTGAGCTTTAATACCCCCATTGCTCACACCCTGGAAATTCACTACAAGGAATTATGAAGGGTTTTCATGGGGCAGCAGGAAGATCTGCATCAACAGTCTTATTTTTCTGATGTCTTTTGTTCTTACTCCTGTTTTATTTTGTAAACCAACATCCCATAACTGATTTGGTGTCCCCCAAAGTGTGATGCCGCTGTTGATGTTAATATGCACAGACTAACAGCTGAGAAAGGGAAGTTCTGTTTTGCCTTGGGCATCTGAATTTCAAAATGCAACTGACTTAAATTGGAATGAAAATCAAGTTTTTTAATGTCTGTGACAAAAAACTCTGTTGTATGTTGACTGACAAGCTTAAATGTGTCTTACTCTGCGAAGTTATAGAGGTATTTGTAAATGTCAATGCTTTGCAGAATTAAAATGAATAAATTTCAATGGACAAATGATCAGGCCCGGTCAGCATGGGTTTGTAAAAGACAGGTCCTGCTTGACTAACTTCATCTCCTTCCATGACAAGGTGACCCTCTTAGTGGATGAGGGAAAAGCTGTGGATGTTGTCTACCTGGACTTTAGTAAAGTCTTTGACACTCTTTATGGCTTGGATGGGCGTACTTTTCACTGGGTAAAAAACTGGCTGGAGGGCTGGGCCCGAAGAGTGGTGGTAAATGGAGTTAGATCCAGTTGGCGGCTGGTCATATGTGGTGCTCCCCGGGGCTCAGTACTGGGCCTAGTGCTGTTTAGTATCTTTATCGATGACTTGAATGAGAGGATCGAGCGAACCCTCAGTAAGTTTGCAGATGACACCAAGTTGTGTGGGAATGTCAATCTGCTTGAAGGTAGGAAGGCTCTACAGAAGGATGTGGACAGGCTGGATCGATGGGCCATGGCCAATGGTATGAGGTTCAACAAGGCCAAGTCCTGGGTCCTGCACTTGGGTCACAACAACCCCATGCAGTGCTACAGGCTTGGGGAGGAGTGGCTGGAAAGCTGCCCGGCAGAGAAGGACCTGGGGGTGTTGGTCGACAGCCGGCTGAATATGAGCCAGCAGTGTGCCCAGGTGGCCAAGAAGGCCAAGAGCATCCTGGCCTGTGTCAGGAATAGTGTGGCCAGCACGCCTAGGGAAGTGATCATCCCCCTGTACTCATCATTGGTGAGGCCGTACCTCAAGCACTGTGTTCAGTTTTGGGCCCCTCACTACAAGAAAGGTATTGAGGTGCTGGAGCGTGTCCAGAGAAGGGCAATGAAGCTGGTGAGGGGTCTGGAGAACAAGTCTTATGAGGAGCGGCTGAGGGAACTGGGGTTGTTTAGCCTGGAGAAGAGGAGGCTCGGGGGAGACCTTATCGCTCTCTGCAACTACCTGAAAGGAGGTTGTAGTGAGGTAAGTGTTGGTCTTTTCTCCCAAGTAACAAGCAATAGGATGAGAGGAAATGGCGTCAAGCTGCACCAGGGGAGGTTTAGATTGGAAAAATTTCTTCACTGAAAGGGTTTTCAAGCATTGGAACAGGTTGCCCAGGAAAGTTGTTGAGTCACCATCCCTGGAGGTATTTAAAAGCTGTGTAGATGTGGCGCTTAGGGACATGGTTTAGTAGTGTTTTTGGCAGTGCTTGGTTAATGGTTGGAGTTCATGATCTTGAAGGTCTTTTCCAACGAGTCTATGATTCTATAAAATAGGCCATTTAACATATCTGGAACCTTCTTTTCCCTATTCTCACTGGAGGAAAAGTAACAGAGAGGTTAATCCTAGTTCAGTATTACTTGTGGAGTTTGATTCGGTTAAGATTGCTTGACTTCTGTAAGAAACGGACAGCACCTCTCAGGAAAGCTGGTGACGTACTATGTTTAGAGCACATTTGATGGATGCAGTAGTTAAATAGTAGCCTACCTGTAGGAACATAAAACATGAAGTATGTAATTTTTACTTACATAGTAATTAATGTATTTCTATTATATACGATAGCATGATAGGTACTTTGCAGCTAAAAATTAAACAGATTTCACTTTTATAAACACTGCTCTCTAAGACCACAGCTGAATAAACAGTGCACCTGTAGGAACCAGTCCTGCTCGTGACTTTCAGAGGATATAAAATGTCCTCTGGCCAGGCATGTAAGCCAAATAAATTGTTTTATTTACTTTTTGGGTGTGGGTAATACAACCACTGTTTCTCTTCCATCTTTATTGCATGTTTTTTTTCATTTCAACAGTGGATCTCCTGAGTCTGTCTGCTGCATGTGATGCCTTGGACCAGCACAACCTCAAACAAAATGACCAGCCGATGGATATTCTGCAGATCATTAACTGCTTGACCACCATTTACGATCGACTGGAACAAGAGCACAATAACCTGGTCAACGTTCCTCTTTGCGTGGACATGTGCCTCAACTGGCTGCTGAATGTCTACGACACGTATGTATGCGTGCTCTGAACATGGGGTGCTCAGGAGCTTTCCCAGCTGCACAAGGGGAAGGGGAAAGGGGTAACGAGCCGTTTGCCTCATTATAAAATTAATGGTGTGAAACTGAAAAAAACAGTAGTTGAAGTGAAAGTGATGGTTTAGTGGCTGCATTTAGCTGAATCAATACAGCCCTTGGTTAGGCTTACAATCCTAGCTTTATTAAGCTAAGCAATGAGAGAGCTGGAAACCAAATTTTTTTTAAGGGATTTCTGCGTTCAGAGGAATTCTGGGGCTGCATATCCTCAGTACGTCACAGCTTCACATGGCTTTTAAAATTTATTTAGATAAAGGAATTCAAGAGAATTATCAAGAAGCAACAATATGAACACAATCATATAGACTCTTGCATGTATCTGTACTTCCAGATATTAAACCTTTTCAGAGCTGACCATTTGCTATAGCTTTCAATCTTTAATTCTTGTTCAAAGGTGGAAGAGTTTCATCTCTAATCTAGTGTGGTTACAACCCTCAACATTCAGGAGATTTGAGGAATACTTCATCTAAAATTTAATTTTTAAAAGTACACCTATAAATACAACAGAGTAAATTTACCTTAAGAAAACTTATGAGTATTCCTCTTCAGTGGGTTAATGATGTTGCTCATAACACATAGACAAATTCCAACACATTTGTAAGCTAATTTTAGAATAATCCATTATTTTTGTATTTGGGGAATTTCATGAAAAAAATTTCAGTGGAAGTCTTCATTTGTTTTTTAAGGTTCTTATGAGCCACCTTCAGCCAGACATGCTCATTACTGTGGCAGAATAAACATGTATGTATAGAAATGGAAGGACATGGGTCAGTTATTATATTTCCATTGACATTTTGAACCATATCGAAGTGAGTTGCCATAACATTGTTCTTCCATCCACCCTTTATCACAGCACTGAAGCTTCAATGATCACCTACCAAGAAAAAGTACAGATTTGTAGAGTCTCTTCCTGCAGGATCACCTCTGATAAGCCAGTTGCTTATAACGTCTTCTGCAGCAGCTGCAATATCCTGTGAAGTGGATTACCCAGATTACATTATATTTTTATGTAGTGTACCAGTAGTAGGGAATGGGGCTATATTAATTTGAAAGCCAGGTTTTATTCCTTTAATCTGCTTTGACTTCCACAGAACTCTGATCCACTTCTGAAGTATCATCAACTATAAATAACATATAAACAAAGATACCCAGTTAGTGAAAACAAAAATAGATGTGCTATGGATGTTAATCCAGATCAGCCACGTTAGAGGCAGAGAGGGAAATAAAGACTGTTCCACAGGCTGCTCCTAAGCTGGACCATCCGGTTTAGATTTGCCGTGTCCAGTCTAGTTTTCTTTATGTTGCATTGTGCCGAAAGTACAACATTAGAAATTATAATTGGCTGCCTCGAGGCAGTTCCCTAGGTATGCTAGAGAACTGCATATTGCTGGACACAGTGAAACAGGGAGGTGTTTTATGTGTGAGGAAAGCTCGCAGCTATTTTGCTGAAATTCAGGTTTGAATTATGCTGGTAAGAGAGGTGACCTTGGGGTTACATGTGTTTAGTTTTCATTGTAAACTTAATAGGCAGAGATCAACTGAAGTGCATAGCAGTACTGGAGACATTTAATTAAATGTACTGAATCTTTACTTTTCTTATAATTGAAAACTGTCATTTGTAAAGATATTAATCAGATTCACAGTCAATGACTGATCTAATTATGGGCACAGCTCTGCAAATCCAACACGTTTCAGATTTGTTTTAATTGATCAGTCACTCATGCTCATTTGCAGTAGCATGCTAAATTATTGGTTTGACTTGGGAGGAGAGAAGAGTGAACTGAACAACTCATGATTTGTGCAAGTTTCAATTTAATATGCCTTGCAGGGAAATCATCATTCTACATTCTTCTCCAGTATAATTTGCATGAGCCTGGTATTCATCAGCAGGAGTTTCTCAGGGCACAGATGATAATTAATTTGGAAAAGATTTGAGGGAGAGGAGTAAGAAGAGTGGAGTGTGGAAAGCATAGGTAAACAACAACCACTTACTCGTGATGAAAAATGCAAGATTCTTTAGTAAAAGGGTGTAAATTCTAAACTTGGCTTTGTCCACCAGTTTCCGTGTGCACCTTTCATAGGGTTTGCAGGGGAGGGGCGTGGGTAAATGAGCACCGCTGGCTCCTACAACGCTTCCATCGCGTTAAAAACGACAACATGCCTCTTTGCTGAACAGCGCAGCCTGATGCATGACTATGGCATGCCTGTACATGATTTATCTTATTCCCAGTGGTGTTCTTACTGGCGACGCTTCAGAAGTGTTGATAAGGTTCTGCTTCAAAAATGTCATTTTTAGGCATTAGCTTCCTATGTTGTATGTGTCTTCCTTTGCAGTAGATGTTATATATTTGAAATGCTATCAGAAATAAAAGTCTTGGGGGAAGCCAGCAACTGGAAGTAAATTGAGCTAAACCAGATGACTGAGAGAAGATGGGAAGGTTTGTCATTGCGTTGCCTGCAGCGCTGGGAAGGATGTTCTTACCACAGTCATGTTAAAAAGCAAGAGTAATAGCGCGGGCACGTCACAAGGCAGGAGCGAGCGTGAGGGGGAAGGCTGACGGGAGGCAGCGTGGGGACTGGTGTGGAGGCGAACCAGCCCCTTGGCACAGCACGGGACAGGTTTGAGCGCTGCGAGCAGGAGCTCAGGAACCACGCTGTCTTCTTAATGGTGCGACTGCGCAGCCTGCCCTGCCTTCTCATGATCTCTAGGCAAGCTTCATCATTCACCTGAATGTCTCACAAGTGCCTCCCTCACGGCGCGCTGCCGGCGCAGGCTGCTTTTTCGTGCCTGGCTCCTTCTCGAACGAGTCAGGGCAGGGCTGACAGACAGTAAGCAAAGACTTTCCAGAAATGACTGCTGCATTGCTGTCATGGTTTAACCCCAGCCACCAACTAGGACCACACAGCCTTTCGCATTTCTAATTAAAGTGAAGTTAAATTGTCTTTGGCAAAAGGGATGGTTTCCTGTTCTGTCAGGGACTTCATCTTCTCTGAGAACAGCAGCAGTTCATAGAGAAGCCTTTTCAGAGGAGTGTAGGGTAAAGACTCTTTACTCTCACATTTGTCATAAAAACGGAGGTAATTATTTCCAAATGAAACCCTTTCTGGTTGAATTGATACAGTGGCAAAATGCCTGTGGAGCCACAGCCGTATTTTATATTTCATTTCCAGCTTATCTAATAACTGGCCAAAGTATGCTGTGCAACAGGGTTCTGTGTGGGACTTCCTTTATGATGACTACAGTACTGCAGTGAACATCATTATAGTAAACAAATTATGACATGAATGGATCGTATCATCAGCCAATGTTTCTTTTTCATTAGGGGTCGAACAGGAAGGATCCGTGTCTTGTCTTTCAAAACCGGTGTTGTATCCCTTTGTAAAGCACACCTGGAAGATAAATATAGATGTAAGTCAATGCAATTCTTTTGGTTTTAGTTTATGTTCTGTTTTCTTTCCTGATATGTATTGCATAAACATTTAAGTAACATACACAGACATTCTTTTAGATAGTCCAGATGCAAAATGTGTTAATTTGCTCCACCTTTTACTTTGATTTGTTCAGTATGGTTTTAGGTAGGTTAGAACAGTGGTCCCCAAACTTCTTTCATTATGCACCCCACTTGGTAAAAAATTGTTGAGTGTGCACCCCCAATAGATGTATATTTATTTATGAATTACATACATTTACTACTGTACTAATATACTATGTACATTATAAAACTTAAAGAAAAATAGAAATTAGAAAAGGATGAGATAAAAATTAAATAAACACTATTTTTATTTTTTTAATTTAATGTATTAAGAGAACAAAAAAAAATATTTTCTTACCACACCCAATGTATTGTCTTGTGCACACCCTGTGGTGCATCACCCCCACTTTGGAGACCACTGGTTTAGCACACCTTCATACACAGAAATGCATGTCTACAGGGCGTCTTGCATTACAGCATTTTAAAGCATTATTTTTTAAATGTTTTCCACAATGTGGTCAGGGTCTTATTATGTACCTTGTGCTTAAATATAGTGGCTATCTTTAAACAAATATTAAAGGTGGGCAAATTTTGCATATTTTAATAGAACAAATCCTGAAATACTTGAAAAAATTCCACTTGAAGTTTTAGTTTTATCAGACTAATGAATCCGTTCATTAGTGAGGCTAGGATCCAGAAAAGATCTACTGATAAGAGTAGTTCTGAAGAGTAACGTTCTGGTTACATTAACTGGTATCTCTCATTAATGCATTTAAAAAAAAAACCAAACAAACAAGCCAAACACAACAACCTTTAGGATTTGACCCAATACCATAGCTGTTCTTCACCGATTGTTATTATTCTATTCTACTAATGAAAGTTGAAGAACGCTGAAGAGAAACCAGACAGTTCCAACAACAGCATCTGTGCATGACTACGTATAATTGGATCAGACTTCAGGGCAATCACTATGAATGTCACAGTTTAGATCTCTAGATGTTTCATGTGGGTGTTGTGAAAAAGTATTCAGAAAATCTTTTAAGAAAATTGCTGAGTACAGATATTTTTCAAAATGATATTTCACTGAGGATTATCAAAGTTATAAAGGAAAACATTTATTCATATTTTATAGTCTCCTGCAGTGTGTGTGCACGGTAATGCATAACCCCCCTTTCAGGTTGTAGAATACTTAATGTTTTAATGATGGGGAAATTGAAAGCTGAATTGTTTGTGGGAGAGGAAGGAATTGTCTGCCAGGTTGTGGTCTGGCTTCAGCATCCATCCCGAAGTCATAGTGCAATTGCTATTAGTATTGCTGCAAGTATGCAATGAGTCGCACCCCTGATTTTTTTTTTTTTTCCCCATTTATGTGGCTTCTTCAGGCTTGCAGAGTTAATGGAAGGATTTATGCCCAAATTATTTATTATAAAACTAGACTTGGCAAGAGTGAAACTCATGTAATTAAAAAATAATCCTTTTTCTGTCCATTCCTTTATTCCTTTGGAGCAAAACAGGTGTTAAAGCAGTGCTGGGAAAGTTATCTCGAGCAGTGCTGAAGCGCCTTTATAATTGTATCCCTGGTGCCGGGTGAAATATTAAGGTGGCTCCAAAAAAAAGGGTATTATTTTGTTCTAGCCGTCTCTCTTCTTGGCTTTTTTTTTAAACTCTCTGAAAAGTAAGGAGTATTTATTCAGGTCATGTATTATCAAAAGGGATATTACCAAATAAATATTTCAGTTAATGCTAACCTGATTTTTCTTATTATTCTGAACTCTAAATCCTCCTCAATATATGTGTAGTAAAACTAATTCTCACCCAATTAAATTGAGCTTATGAAAGGATAGTAATTCTGTCCTGTAGGATTCTTTTCTAGAATGATGCAGTAACAGAACCTGGCTTCAAGTAACATTTCACTTCAGAAATGAAAGCTTAATATGATGCTAACATTCCTGGTGGATGGCAGGTTCTGTCACACTGTAATGTTTTTCTTTCATTTTAGAAATACTCTTGGATTAAAAGATTATGATATATCAAAGTCAGGGAGCTCTTGTTTTTCAGTTCAACTCATTTGAAAAAGAAATGGGTTCTCTGAGTTCTGTGTTTTTGCTAAGACTTGAAAATGTGCTGTATGTTGTATGAGAATATTTTACCGTTAAACAATATTTTTAAAACATTTATGTTGCTCTGGCTCAAAGATCCTGCTGTTTAGTTAGCTGTGTTATAGAATCACAGCTGCTGTTATCAGTAATACCACAGGTGTTGTGTTATAATAGCCTTCCTTCCAAGGTACAAGCCAATAATGCCATTAAAAATTATCACTAGACTGTTTATTTAACAGAAAAAAACCCCCAGCGTTTATGGGAAGAGAAGCAGCCGAACTCAAGACACTTTTGTGTTCATGTCTGCCAGGGCTGTTGACTGCAGTTGCGAGCCTTTTGAAACGATGTGAAGTGCTGTGCTATTTGCCGTATCCCACTTGTGATGCTTTACCACGGGTGTCCTTTCCCTTCCCGCAGACCTGTTCAAGCAAGTGGCAAGTTCCACCGGCTTCTGTGACCAGCGCCGGCTGGGGCTCCTGCTGCACGACTCCATCCAGATCCCTCGGCAGCTGGGGGAAGTGGCCTCCTTCGGGGGCAGCAATATCGAGCCGAGCGTCAGAAGCTGCTTCCAGTTTGTAAGTTCACGTTTGCTCGCTCTTCATTTTCTGGTTTGTATTTCGCGTCGAGGTAGCCTGCCCGGTCTGAAGAGGATTGAAAATCTGGAAGAAGGATTAGGGTGCTGAGGGTGGTTTTATGGTGGCGTTCACTGGTGTCTTAAACGGTTCCTTTGATCAGATGTATTTGAATTAACCCGTTTCTCTGACCTTGGTGGAAGAAGCCCAGATTATGCTGTTATCCAGACAGCAAATAATTGTCATCAAAGCTTGTATTGTAACTGAACCCTGCAAACAGTTTAAGTCTTTGTTACGGCAGCTCCTGATTTTACAATTATTTATTGCCAGCAGCAGGTGACCATTTATTGCTGCGTGTAGGTGAACAGCAATGGTTAATCTAAATTTTGGGCATATATGTACCAGTAACAACCAGGTGCCCAGGGGAGCGATAGGAAAGGAGCCACTGCCTGCAGTGCTGTCTAGGGTCGAGGAGCACTCCATGAGCTCCTTCGACTGCTTGAGTGGATAATACCAGTTTTCTTTAAAGAGTACTGAAAGAATTCCTGCTCTGTCTGTTGAGGAATACACAGCGAACTGGAGGTTCTTTTTCAAGCTTGTGAATTATTTAATCTGGGGAGGAAGAGAGTTAGGGGAATTATTCATCCTTATCCTAACCACTAGCAGAATGTACAAGATGAAGACAGCTGCTTAATGAAAAGGTAGAGGAGGGGAGGTAATGTATGGTCTGTGATTAACTCTCAATGCTTCTTCTACATTACAATGGAAGAATCACTTTTTTCCCATCCCCTAACTGTCCCTGGGGGATTTTTTGTTTGCCTGGAGGCAGGGGGAATTGTTTGCTTTTTTGCCTGCTGCTCAAGTTTCATTGTGTAGTAGTTTCAGTTCTGTAGTAAGCAAAACACAGCAAGTTTTTTCAATGAATATTAATGTTTGGAAATAGTCTTCTTACAGTGACTATGAAAAGAATCTAATTCTAAAATCGCCACAAATTTCAGTTGTGATGGGACGTTTGCTTTCTGTACTTTTTAAGCTTCTTTTGTCAGGTTAATTCTTCAGGATTCATGTTTTCCCATTTCTGTCATTCATGTCTTGACCTTTTATAATTCTAATCTGTATCTGATGCCATTTCCAAATATGACAGGGCCATAGCCTGGGTGGGTAACCCATGCTGATAAACTATGCATAGCAACTTTGGCAGCCGGGTTAGACCCTGCTGTGGCTTTTGAGCCTCCAGTTCCACGTTGGACTTTCAGGTGAGCCTAACACAAAATGATGTCCCAGCAAATCCATGGTCAAAAGCTAATTTGTGCAAATTACCTTCTTCGGAAGTTAGGACTCACTGGATCCTATTGTTTTCCCAAGAGAATGGTAACGGCACTTAGAATGTTGTTGAAAAACTGATAAGGAAAATTACCTTGGGATCTGACAAAAACATGGAGTTTTTTTGAAAGGGCGCTGACATTCTATGTGTTTATATTAAGAAGAAAACAATAACATTCATAGTGATGGAACACACAAAAGCGGTTTTTATAAAGTAGAAAGAAGACCTTGGAACAAATGTTTGTTTGAATAAAACGGGTTAGCAACATTGTCGTTACAAATGAAGACATGCCAGCAGGCTGAGTGTTGTACCGCATCCAGCTGGAGGCATTTCTCGACACAGCCCAAGCACAACTGGGCATCACCTTTGACATGTTCATAAATCAGAACATCGGAAATCCTGAGATTTCCTTCTCTGACCTGGACTGAAAAATAGGTTTTCTTCTTACCTGCAGTGAGAGGAATTTCATCCTCTCTTTTTCCTCCAGGTGAAGCCTCATTTTAACTTGCAGAGCGGGAGGGTGGTTTCTGACCTGGGTTGTAGCAGAACAGATCATCTTCTAAGAGGACCAGAAAGGGGGAGGGAAGCTCAACCAAGGAGGGGAAATAGAAGCAGGGAGGATGGAGTCTGAGGGAGAGGAGCAGAAACCGAAGTGTAGGGAGAGCCCCGATGGAGGGGAGGGAGAAGGAACTAAGGAGCGGGAAAGAAAAGGGCCACCCTTGATTCGGTAATGATGGTAAGAACAGGATTAGGAAATAACAGCGAGGAAGGAAACAGAAGGGTGGGTAGGTTGAGGCATGAAAGAAAGGTGCAGACAGGAGTGGAGAAGGGAGAAGGAGTAAGACCTTTCCAGGAGAAAGGGAGGAGAGGAGTACAAGGAGGTCCTTTCGGCATAGGATCAGGGATGGGGCACAAGGGTCCTTGGGCTGGGGGGCAGCACAGAGGTGCCAGAGGTGCAGGGAGTGCCCGGGAAACAGAGCGGCTGGAGGAGCTGGACGGCCGAGGGGAGACTGCACAGGGCTCCCAGCGGCCACCTTTTGCTGAAGTGAGATAATTCAATTTTTAAAAATAGTGTGGGGATTCATAGTTTACATTATTGTGTGGAAACTAAATTAAGTCTTTCTTTGTACGCCCACAGTGAGGAATGCTTTTTCGTTTGGGTGGGTTTTTTTTCTTTGGGCTTGTTTTGTTTTTTTTTTTCCTTTCTGGTGATGATAAGCCAGCAATAAATTGCAGTCATGTCAGAGTCTGCAACAAATGCGTGCTTCAGAAATGGCTCTCCCAGCCCCCTTAGGTGAGGTGCCCTGGCAACGGCCTTGTCTGTCTGCACAACAGCAGGAAAAAAAAAAAAAAGGAGGGGGGATGTTTACTGTTCCCGGCTGATAACAGGGGAAACCTCTCCTACGTTTTGGTTTGAAGTGCGAGTCCTTGGGAATGAGAGCTGAAAAGGGTGAGCTTCCCAGCACCGCTGTTGGCAGCAGTCTGTTGGCACTGCCCGATCCCACCGGCGCTGCCCGATCCCCAGGAGCGGGTCCCCTTCCTGCAGGCGGCTGCTGCTGCCACCCCCCTGTTACTCTTCATCCCCCCAGCACCGACTCTTGCTTTCCATAATTTTCCTAATATATGGAAAGGTGCTGATAGTAATTGTTGGGAGAAAAAGGATGTTACTGAACTTGTCTTTCCTAACTGGTGCAGGGGGATGCAATTTCTGCTTTGAGATTTAAAAGAAAAAATAGTTTTAAGTGAGAGCGAAGAGCTTGATCTAACGACCATTTGAAGACTGTATAGTTCTGCCTGGGCTCAAACTGCATCAAAGCAATCGAGAGATCCATGAAAAATTGAGGGAATTCAGTATTACTGCAGTGTGAAAGCACTTTTCTTTTAGTTCTGCCATGGGTATGTTTTTTTAAGTAAACAGGATAGGGAATTGATATGGACTGAAGGACACACGCTCTGTGTTTTAATCACAGTGGAAAATTATTAATATGCTTTCCTTGTATATTGTAAATAGGACCTAGGAATTCACATTGCTGCTTTGGATTAGTTACTATGACATTGGGACTTTTTAAGAAATGTGATGCGAAAACAGAATGCAGCTCGGATGAAAATGTGTCTTGCTGTTTCTCAATAAAATTTTGGATATTTGGTTCTTGGTTATGTATGCTTGGTTATGTATGCTTTCTTCCAAGAGTGTGCTTGGAGTACTTGATATGAAGAAAACAGTACAGATGAAGCTAAGGAGTAGTAAAATATGTACAGTTTATTGATGTATGTATTTTAAAACTTGTTTCATTTCACTTTGACAAAGGAAAGTACTTTAAGATTCTGTGTTGTATAGTCTTCATTTCTAGTTTTGTACTTGATCAATGATCAGGCAAGATCAGCCTGGTTTTTACAACCACTAAACTGTGTCCAAATCCAGTATATTTACTCAGATAAATAAAAGCCAAAATAGGGGCCTGTTAGTCCTTTTAGGTGGAGTTTGGTATTGCAAATCCTGGGCCAGGACCCTGATAGTGACTTTGGCCATAAATGCCATGATTTGAATTGCTTGGACAATTGTTTTGTAAGGAGTGGATTGGATTGCTTTGGTTTTGGGGTTTTTTTTTTAACAGTTAGGAAGTATCAATACTGTGTAGAAATAACTCTATATAGTTATATAGAAGTCTATATGAAAATAACATACAAATACAGCGCTACTGTTGAGGGACTCGATCTCTTTTGAGACATCCAGGCAGCCCTTGCTTCTATTCATAGGATATTTTTTCTGCTTTTGACTCTTAACAGGGGAGAGCTGGCCTGAGGGGAACTAGCAAATCCTTCCTCAAGCTGCTATGCTGTAAACGTCATAAAACAGTAATTCTGGTTTTATTTCAGCATGATTTTGTGAACCTGTGCCTGACTTTGGGAGGCACTCTCGAGGAGTCCTACAAGTGAACTGCTTTAAAGAGCTATTTTAAAATGGTTTAGTGTATGTGGAGTAGGAAGATGGTGTTTTTCAAGTGTTGGTGATATAAAACTGTACGCTAGTTCCCTTCTGGGTTCATGGGGTTTTATTGTATTACGTTTTGCCACAACACTAAAAACATTGACTGGAGTAGTCAGTGCAATCAAGTGTAATGCAAGGGGTCAAAGTGATGATCTTAAGCATTTGCTCCGAGGGTCGAGGCAGATTTAAGCCATTTGCATCACCCAAAGTTACCTTTATAATAATCCTCTCTTTCCTTGACCATGAAACAGCACTTGTCTTGGACATAAGTTAATTTTTGACTTTTGTTTTCTTACCAGCTAGCAGTGGGGAGGACACAAATGTATCGGGGAAGCCATTCAGGAGTGGAAGACAAGCTTGAGCAGGGTTTGCTGTGACTCGTGGGAGACAGGGCTGCTGTTCATGGCTTGCTCTGCATTTTTGAACTCCAACAAGTCACAAGAATTCCATTCCCCATTTTCATTTTGTCCAAAATAATACTTACTTAGCCTAACGTAAAGCTTTCCATCCTAGATGGAAAACACCATCAAATTAACAATGTTAATTTATTTCTAATTAATTTCCTACACTGCAGCTAAACAGAATATAGCTCATTGGAAATGTTACCAGAAATTTGTGCTATATTGTCTGACTCTGTCCAAAAACATACCACGTTGTTCCTGGAACGTCACAGTGGCATTAAGCATATTTCACATTCTGGACAGATAAAGTTAATATAGTATAGAATATTTTTTAAACTACTAGCTGGAAGAGGGGGAAAAAAAAAAACCCAAAAATTCAACTCCTAAGCATTGCATAAAGATGCTAGCACCACCCAACTTCCTATTCCCCTATTGTTTCTGCAGAATAAATACTGAAAAACAGATGTCTGGAACATAATGAATTTGAATATCCCCCATAAAAAAATGTTACTTGTAAGCTGGAAAGGGCTTTATGAATTTTACTTTATGATTCACTGTTATTACCATAAAAATTGGGAGTTGCACAGAAATGGGTTCAAGAGAAGAACCGTTAATATTCTTTACAGCTTGATCTTGTTGGTTCAGATACAAACTGTATGAATTCAGACTTTTTCCCTTATGTAAAATCTTCAGCTGCTGCCTTTACTGGATTTAGAGATTATTAAAAAAATCGTAATAGCGGCTCAGGGAACAGTCGAGAACTGCCTGTCCTATACTGTCTGACCCTGATCAGCTTTTCTCCACGTGGCTTTAAATCTTCATGTAATATAATTCGGAACCAGTTCTGATACATTTTAATGCACCTAATCTCTCTGAGCGCAGGTTTTGTACAGCCAGCGTGCCGAGCTCTGGGTAGGCAGCTATTGGGACTGCTGGCAATCGACAGTGACTGCAAAATTAAAATAGATCTTTGGATGTTACAAAAAGTCTTTCATAGCCGCAGCATTTTCGCTGCAAATTTAAAGCAGCTACAAGTGGACAGCGGCGCTTTGAGCAGCTCATTCTTATTCTGACTGCAGCTTGCACTGCAGCATTTCCGTACACTTTGTGTTTTTCTATTAGAAATGGCATATTAAAGAGATCCTCTTAAAATTTTTTTGAGGCTTAGAGGACCTCTGTACAGAAAGTGTGGTCTGCTGGGCAGGGTAATGATTTGCCAGTGTAGTTCCTGGCTGATGCTTGCTTGACAAGTAAGCCACAGAAAGTCTCTTGCCACCCCCTTTACTGCCCTGGCTGCTAGCTGAAAAATAGACATGTAGATGATCATGTTTCATAAATATGCCTTTCTCTTAGGAGAGTTCTAGAATGAATTTAATTCTGTTGAATTCACTGATGTCCTGAAGCAGAAGGCAGTATGGGATCTTCCGAACAAATTCTGTTGCCAGTGTTGGCTGCACTTCATTGTACTTTTGATTTTCTCTATTTTTTTGTTTTGAGGCGGTTCCTAAATTCTGTAGCTACATGAAAAAACAGAGGAGTAGGATTTCATGCAGATGTCTTCAGAAATATTTCAGTGTGTAGGAAAAAAAAAAAAAAGTCATTACATTTCTTATAAGACCTGTAGTAAATATTAAATTGTGAGGGACTTTATCTGAATAACTGTAGATATGTTGTGGTTTGATGGTTTTACCCCAAACATCAAAAAAAGATGTATATGACTGTACTAGAAATCCATATATGTGGATCTTAAATGCAGTCATAGGAGTCTTTAGATGGTTTCACAGACTAGCATCTCAAGAATGTCCAGACCAAAAAATCTCTTTGTTTCTAATTAACCAAAGTATTGCAGCAGCATTTTAAGTCAATTTTAATGCAATGCATTATTCAGGAGATATTCGGGGGAGGGGGCGAGGTTCCACACCTTTCTTGTGGCCAGGGGTTCTGTCTAGGAAACTTCAAATTTTTCTCAGTCTTCAAGTATTGTTCAGGTAATTTGTTAGTCACCATTATAAACAGTGTTAGCTTTCAAAAAAAAAATACACCAAAAACCACAGAAATAATTGTTTTTCCTTCTGATATTTTTTCTCCAAATTCCTTGCTAGTATATTTAGTTGAATAAGGTTTTAGCTAGGTCATACTAAACTCAGATTTCATGAGAAACTGGAAAAGTAACTGAGAGCAAGCATTAAAAAAAATCAGCGCTCAATCCCCTATTCATCTCGGTCCAGGTACATGATACATTAATGCCTATTATTTATTTAAGTGCTTCAAATAGGTTTGGAACCACAAAGGAAGACAGTCTGCCTTGTGAAGTTTGAAATAGAAGAGACTGGCCCACAGAGGGCTGTATTTGAAACCCCAGAGAAAAAGGAAAGCAGATGATTTAAATATATTCAGCTCATAAATATGCTGTTTCTGTTGGGTATGATGGAAGGAAATGTCTCGAGGAATTTGAATTGGCACGTAGTGATGGCTTAGAGGAATGGAGCGGGACAGTATCATCGCTTCATCGCTTGGGCTGTTCCCTGTGTGGACTCATCCTCCTCTCTCCCGTCCTCCCCACCAGAGCCTTTCGCTGTTTCCACCTGCTCTGTCACCTCACGTTCAGCACTGAAACCAGCTCCCAGGTTCTCAGATAACCAGTTTTGTGCTGCACCACCCTGCACGCCGGACATTCCTTATAAACACTGACTCTATCCCTTCACTGTTTTCCTTAAAATCCCTTTTGATGCACTTTGCCTTTATTCCGCACCGTTCCTTGCAGTGGCTAGCCTGCCGGTATGGTGTGACCTCTACCCATGTAGACAGATGACCGTTGTCCCCCGTTGCCTTGTGTTTCTCGTCTTTTTGCTGTTTCTTTTTCCATACTGTAGGTGCTGCCAAGTAGGGGTGATTATAATTTTTTGGTGTGTGCACATTGCCTGCCGCAGTGGGATTCAGCCATGTGACTGAGCTGCCTCAAAGTTACCGTAGAAGAGATACCTGAAATAATCATAGTGTTTAGGATGTGATGGGAAGGCAGCGGAGAAATGGGACTGCCGGGATGTGTTCATAGGCTCTTTTATTGCTGGCAAAGAGGTGAAAGTGGGAGGTGGTGGAATATGAGGCTCCGTCAGTTGTATTCTGTGGGACAAAACTGTATTGTGTTTGCAGGCGATGACAGGAAATTTCAAGATGATACGGTGGGAAGAGGGATTTTGAAGCATTTAAGGAGGCAGAGAGGTTACATGTTCAACAACAGGCTTGAAGAGGGATTTGAATAATTTCCTTACGCGTGCATTTAGAAAAAAAGGGTGGTATAATAATTAAGGATTTTAAAGAATGAGGAATTCTGGTCAAAAGGCATTCAATTTTTAGGGCTTGGATAACACAAACTAGTTTTAAAATAGGTGAGAAGCAGTGCTACGCAGGCTCAGATGAGAGGGACTGGAAACACCAGCGTCAAAGGTGGTCTTGTAAGGGATGATTTTCACTGTGACAGAGTACATGGTAGTGCTTTCTATTGTAACATGGACTAAGAGAAGGAAAGATTTGAAACATTAATAATAGTGTTCAGTTCCTGTCTTGAAGGCAGGATCCTGGAGATTTTTTTATTTGTTTGGGGGTGGGGGGTGGGGGGGGAGTGAATGACTGGAATGGAGGAGAAGGTGGAGTATATTCCGGGAAAAGATAGAGAGTAGGCAGGAAAAAAAATGGCTTGAACTGTTAATTAGCTGGTAGGAGACAGATCGCTTGTGCTCAGCCCGCGTCTTTCTTCCCCCTGTGTTACAGGGCAACAACAAACCGGAGATCGAAGCGGCCCTCTTCCTGGACTGGATGAGGCTGGAACCACAGTCCATGGTGTGGCTGCCCGTCTTGCACAGGGTGGCTGCTGCTGAGACCGCCAAACACCAAGCGAAGTGTAACATCTGCAAGGAGTGTCCAATTATTGGATTCAGGTACAAGCTCGCTCCCTTTCCGCGTGTACTACTGCTGGGTGGATCAAGAGCTCTGCTTGCGTCCAGGCGAATCACGTGCTTGATTTTATGCATGTTGTTCAGGGAGAAAATAATTGTGACAGGGGACAAGGGAGAGTGACCCCGAGACTGGGTACAGTGATGCGAGAGTTGAAGAGAACAAAAATCATTGATCACTTCAGATATGGCCCTTCCTCTGTGTCCTGCTTTTGCCTGCAGTCCTTCCGTGCCTCAACCAAAATATCAGTAGATTGCACAACTAATACTATTTGCTTTACATTCAATCCGTCCTATACATGCAGTTACATTTTCTGAATTGGGTCCTAATGAATTGCTTTCTGTTGTGGTATAAAGTAAGGAAGTGCCGTGAAAATTCGCAGATGTGTAAAGCTACATGTGCGTTTCTCAGAGAAAGAATGTTTTTGGTGGAACATTAACCTGGAGTGGGGGAAATACTGCTGGTCTATTTAAACATCTGGATCGACACCACGGTTACTATGGCAATGAATAAGTCACTGTGTTGTAAAATGGCTGTGTGTTGGTATGCCTGTTGAGAATCCACTTAACGGCTAAGTAAATACTCACTTTCAATTATGCCTAGACTTGTTTTATCACTTTGCTTCGCAATAGCTGCTTTGTATGGTTTCTGTCCTTTTTATGCACGGTCTTCTTTTACCATTGGCATTTCTCCTTCTATGGTATTGTGTTGTTTACAAAGAGCTTTCTGTAATTTTGTTTCTAAAACCCAGATAGACAACAGCAACAAGCAGTACCACATAGAAGAGCCATCATTTTGCTCTGACCTGGGAGAGCGTGAATGTTGCTTTTATGCGTGTAGTGTGGCAGTGCTTTCTGCTATGCAATTTCACAGGCAGTGGGAAACGGGGGAAATAATGATGGTATTGCTTTGTTTTGAATCCGAGTTGTTCTTCAGTGAGGCTGTTCCTCCAGTCATCTAAATTCTTCTCTTTCTGCTTTTATTCCGCTTCAATATCTTAACTGGGAAATGATAGATATTACTGAGGAAGGGCTAGGGATGGGAGTATTTCAACACATCCACAAAGTCTAATTTTCCCATTCCCAGATGTGGTTTATGAACTACTGAAGTACTTAACACGGTTTTGTATAAACAGCCAAAGACAAGTAGGTGGCATTGAAAAATGCGGCACTTGGAAAATCAAAGGATGGCAAGTGAATGGATAGTCTGTAGTGAGCATCGAGAATTCGGGAAAGTGGACACTGGAGCTTTGTGTTTGCATCTAATTTTACTTGACTGATCTCATCTGTCTTTTAAATTTATATAACAAATCTATTATCATGATAGTAGAATCTGTCTGTCGCAGATATTTTTCTCTGGCTTTGCAAGTCATTGAAACCCTGTGTACACACTTGACAAAAAGATACTGTATTGGAAGGCTTTTAGAAAGCTAATACTGTGCACCTCAGTATGTGTAAAACAATGTTCTTTTGAGGTCATTGTGACTGAACTGCTTCGTGTACTTGGAACAAGACAACCCTTATGCCTCCGGCTCTTTCAAGCACTTCAGCGTAGCAGATACAAAAGTTAGCTGCCTCATAGAACTGATGAGATTAAATAATCGCCCAAAAGTGCATTCGGAGTTTTGCATGGATGGAATGCCATACAGGAAAATTGTTTTGATAGAGGTGCTAGGAAGGACACGGACAAATTCTTGCCTTGAATGCAGCACTTAGGAGTTTGCTGGAGTGACTTGTTGAGGAGGGCATTACTTGAATTTTCCTTCCTCAGGACATTCTGTGTTAGGAATCACAATGAAGAGCAAAAGAATTGAAATTAGCGTTATAAAAAAAAAGCGTGGTGGTGTCTTCCATATATTAGAGAAAGTGATTGTGTAGAAATCTTTGCTGTTGCACAAGGTTAAATTTTTTTTTTGAAGATTCAGATCTTCGATAAACATCTGAGGCAGCAACACCTGTCCCTCAGTGGTAGAGGAGCATTGCCTGGCATTGCACACTGTGTGGCATCTCAGGGAAGAGAACTTACTGACAGAGAAAACTTGAGAAGCTGATATCAAGCATTCACATACAAACCTCTGAAGTCGTGGGTTTTTTTCCTTCTTTTTTAGGTACAGAAGTTTAAAGCACTTTAACTATGACATCTGCCAAAGTTGCTTCTTCTCTGGCCGTGTTGCAAAAGGTCATAAAATGCACTATCCCATGGTGGAATACTGCACACCAGTAAGTAGCTGTTTTACTGACCCTTACTGTCCCTTCTCACGTAGAAAGGGAAAACTTCCTGTGTGCAAGGTAATGGAGCATTTGGGTGGCTTTTCTTTCCCCCCTATAATTAAATCACCTTTTATATACTATACATGCCAGCAATTTCTGATGCTTAGTAAAGGATACTCCAATGGTTTGAAGTAAATTGAAGTTAATTGTTTTTACAGTGCTGTGTCGTAATGGATTATTGTGTGCTAATGACTTGTTCCATATGCAATGCCATTGTTCGCTGTATGGATCCTGCAGGAAGCCTGTGATTTGTGCAAATACTCATTCATATCTTAGGACGCAATGTTTTCTCCAAATCAGTATGAGATTTTTCTTCCTTTGCTCAGCAAGTTGCCACTTCCCTTTTTTTCCCCACACCACTATGATTGCATTTTTAAGCGCTTCAGTATTTAATGGTGCCTTTGTATTATATGATTGCTTGATGATATAAAATACTAGGGAAGTTCTCAAAAGTAGCAAGTTAGATTTCATTTCTGAAGCCTGGAAGCCAGGGTGTTCAATGCAGCGCAATGCAGCTGTGCTGCACTGGTGGTCTGGTGAGGGTCTTCACCCTTGTTTCACAGCTCTCAAAACGATCAGTTTTGTGTAAACATTTCTTTCATACCAGATGGCTGGCAAAGGAAATTCCATATTACTCTCTCAGAGTGCTCCTTTTTCTTTTTGGTCACTCATGACCAGCGCAGAGGGGCATAAATTAGAGGAGCTCTCAATTTGTCCTTCCACGATGCAGCACAACTGAGCTTTCAGACGCCTTTGCTATTTTTTGCGGTGGTTGTAAAGCAGTGAGCTCTCTGGTTGTCGTTTCCTGGTGTGAGGATAGTTCCTACTCTTGTACTTTCATCTGCTGGTCAAATATAAAGCATCAGAATTATAAATGGGCTAGCCACATAGAATTAGATGAATGGTCTTTACAACTTCATCCAAACAAAAAGGCATGGCCAAAATGAAGACTCAGTGTTTCTTAGAAACATAGCAAAGAGAGAGAAAAATTTATTTCCCTAAAATATCACACTAAAGCAAAACCAGTATTTTTGTTAGGTTTAATTTATGGATGTTTATTTACATTATCTACCAACTTTTAGGGTAGCGTTTAAATGGCAGTATTTAATCTGAATCTCTGCAAGCGCAGCTAATGTGCGTTTGCTAGCTTTTTGTCAGTACTCATCGGCCGCTGCTTTTCAGCGTTGTCCCCCAGGGGTTGAGGTTACTGGAAAGGGTGATTTGCCTGAACTCCTGCACAAGTCAGAGGGAAGTGCTGGCACGGCCTGGGCAGGTCTGAACAGACTTCTCCATCGCAGGCATTCCTAGAGCTAACTCTCATGATCTGAGTCGTAGGCAGAGCACCACGTTAGGGCATTCCTTCCAGCTGCAGCTGAATACCTCCTTGCTGAATCGGCTAAGGTTTGGTTTTGCTGTTTGCCGCTCTTATTCTTGCTGATAAGTGACAGGGCAGATTTGTGAATGGTGCGCAGAAGGCACAAAGCACCACCTTGCTACTGTTTCCTTAACCTGTTCATAAGAGGTATTTTGAGGAGAGAGAAATGAAAAAGGATTGTGAGACACCCCCACAGCCTGCAGCAACTCGTTGCAACACAGGGTCCAGCAGGTTTCTGTTCTCCCTAAAAATACAGATGACTAAAAGGCAAACACAGTGTGTGAACAGAAAACTTGCAACCGCATCCAGCTTGCTGGATCAGAATAAAGAACCATTCACAGCCAGTACATTTTTTTGCGAATCCTGAACTCCAGCAGCCCATGCTAATGTGCCGTGCCTGGCTGCACCGGCAGCCCGTTGAATTAGAGAAGGATAAACTGGGAGGGGGGGG